TTTCTCGACCCCTGCGCCGAGACACCGGAACATTCCATCCCGGAACCTCGGCGCCCCGAGGATTCCCGGCCTCGAGGTGGCGCGGCCTGATTGGCAGGTCCTCCTTTGTCCAGGGTGGGGGCCGCGGGAGGGCCGTGGTGCCGAATTGCTGTTTTCACTCCTGCCATCGTTAATTCAACTATTGACAGAGAAAGGAGGGTCCGCCGCGGCTTTGTGTCACGCGCTCACTGTAATTTACTTGAAAAGAATTAAATCTCAATTACCTGCCATTCGTTTTGCATAAAACGAGCCGTAAGGAGGCTGCCATCGCTGAGTGCTTGAAAGGACAACAGCCCCATTGTTGCCATATTAGAACAATATTTCTCAATTTGAAACTTAAAACAGTCGAATTAAGCAGCTTTGTTTGACCACGGTGGCCCACCGATAGGCAAGACTGACACCCCACCTCGGACGCCAGACATTACAGTTAACGAGCATAATTTTCATTCATTTAAGTCTAGACCGATCTTTTAAAATCGTCGCATTTATTGTAGAAATGTACCTCCCAAATGTTAGAAAGGAAAATGTAATCTTTTGTCTGTTACCTAGCCCAGTTGATAAATTACCTAAATGCCGTGAAAATTCCTCCTGCTGGAGCTAAAATCAGAGAAAACTGTAATTAAGCCACTTGAGATTTGTTTAAATGTCCAAAGAAATCACACTGTTTTTCAAATAAAGTTACTTCTGTTCTCATTTTCTCTCCTTGCAGATATGGTCATCAGGTAAATATGACTGATCAGCTTTTAAACCAAGGCTTTTAAAGTGCATTTAAAATATTCAATTCTGCAACATTACATCACTGTTAACTGGTGTGTTCAGCAAATTTGAAGCCCAGCTAGGTTTTTAACAACTTCTGTAAAAGTAAACCGCTGCTTTCAGTGAGCTGTAGTTTCCATTAACGTTAATGGTTTTTCAGTAACAAAATGTAACAGTTCAGTCAAGCTTGAATATTAAAAAGAACCCAGTTACTAATTGTAAGAACCCTTGAAAAACAAGGCAAAACTGCAAATTAAAAAATATAATTGCTAACATTGGGAACTGTGTTCAGGGAGAAAAAAATGTTATACAGCTTTATGGATACGAAAATAGAGGTGATCTATTTCATATCTATAAATCTATAAATAAACCCGAAAATAGAGAAGATTAAAGAATAGAAAGGTAATTTTTTTTTTAATCCGAGTGGTAAAAAGCAAGCTGAAATGCTGATTTAGTGCCCGGGATAATTAAACCGTGAAAACCTAGGAAATTAAACCCTGTAACCTAGGAAAGCAAGTCAGAGTAAAACTGCATTTGCTATCGGTAACAGTGGACTTGTCTAATTTTAAAAAGTGTGATTTTATGATTGAAATGTTATTAATATTTTAAGAGGATTTTTTTTTTTAAAGAAAGAGTAAAAGCTGCTGGCTTCTTTTTCTTCTTTAATGAATAGTCTTTTAAAGAAAAAAATATTTTATCGTCTGCTCCTTTTTATTTTTTAAATGCATGTGAAAATGATAATGTTTAATTTTACTTTTAATGACTTTAAAATTTTATAAAGGACTGTTTCCTTTATTCTTTCGGGAGAGGATAAACGTTTGGCTGCAGCAGAAAACAAATTACATGCGGAATAAACCAAGGACTCAACTCTATTTTCATGACTGGGTTTTTGAACAATAATCCACAGAGGTGGGGAGAAAGGGATTCATCAGGCAAATGAAACAAAGTCCCTGATCTGTATTCCTTTTCTGATATCACCTCCTGGAATATCGGCAACATTTTAAGTTCCAGCCTAAGCCACAAATTCCTTCAGAACAAATCAAATGTCTTTAAAGAATATTTCTGTTTGAAAAGGAATTAAGCTCTCCTGAAAGAATTTTAAAGGTTGTGATATTCACAGTCTGATAAAGCAGCACCTTTAATGAAATTCTAATTAGCAATTTCATGCACTTTGCTATTAGTCATATCAGATTAGTGCACATTTTCACAGCCTTCCTTTAATTAAGTGCACTTATTCCAAGTTTCAAACACTTTCCTTATAAGATGAAAACTGTGCTGAAATGTTATTTAGTAAACAGAGGAAGTGTGAAAGTGTAGGTGTGCATGTGTACAGGGGCGGACATTTTTAACTGTCTACAAATTTTTTTACATTTAGAGTTGGTGAACTCAGGTTTTCATGCCTTCTTTCTTGTATTCTGTGTTTCCCTGGTGTTTCTAAAGGACCTACTCAAATCCTTAGCCAAGTGCATATCGTGTGTTTTTGCCTAAAACGTATTTTCTGTATGTGTATGTATGTTGGCAGATTTTTTGCTTGAAACATCTTTTCTTTATGTCTCTGTGTGTGTGTTTGTGTGTGTGTGTGTATAAGGAAAGAGAGAGAAACTATGTAATAGACAATATTTAGTTTTTAAAATCTCCTCTGAAAAGCCATAAACAAGCACTTGCCCGTACAAAGTCCCCATCCCGTCACCTTTCACAAGCACCTCTTTTCCTTTGAAAACAGCAGTAAGATGTCATTCTACCTTCTAACTTTCATTCTGAAGCCCCAGCAAGGAGCAGGCGGCTGGCTTCACGGTGAGCCGGATGCGGGGACACCGGATGTCTTCCTTCATTTCAGACTCAGCTTCTCCTCGCGAGAGCCTGGCAGTCCAGCCAGTCCTTTCCTAAGGATTCACACCCTACAGACCCCAGAACCAAGCCCCCCCCCACCCCCGCCCCGATCATCCCTCCCTCCCAGCCTGCTGGAGGGTTGCTCCAGTTCAGGGAGATGGTATTGTCTGGGAATCAACCTGATCTTATCTGTAGCCTTTTGTCAAGAGGAAATTTTTGTTGCCTGTTTTGCTCAGAGGTTGAAACTTGTAATATATTAACTAATTGCTTGCATCTCTACCACATGTTCTCTTGTTGGTGTCATTCATTTATACTGTAACATTTTTGACATTTTTAGATCGTCTCTTGGGACTCCTGGGCCTCTTAGCAGTTCCCTCCATGAAGAGTGTTTGCCTAATGATTACTGACTGACATCTCTATAACAAGCAAAGGAAGAGTTGGTCACATCTATTGAAGATTTCTGGGGAGTGTGCGTGTGTGTGCGCGTGTTTTAATTCATGGTCTACTTTGTCAAGTCATGTGTGAGCCATAATTTAAGCTAATAATTACCAGACATGAATTCAATGAAACATTGGTGTCTACACTTAAAAAAAAAATAGTCCTGAATTTTAATGCATTCAGAAAACGTTTGCCTAGGGCCAGGCTGGGTCCAACACGCATATGGAAGCACTTTAAAAGTGATAAATGATTTGGAATCTACCCTGTCTACTGGTGTGCTTCTCAGGAAAGAAAATTAGAGCTAACAGGTGTTAGATAGGGAATGCTGGGGCATTTTAATAGAATTGTCAAAATGTTGGTACCAGATGTTGACATTCATGCACACAACTCGGAACGTAATGCCGGGCCGCCATTTAAATGATTATTTGTTTAAATTTCAAGTCGCCAGCAGGAAATCCTTACTTTGCTCAGCACCTTTCTCTACACACCATCCCCCTGCTCTTTCCCCTACGATTTGCATCAAAGTGTCGTGGCTGTTCAGCTCACAGATGCATGCTTTAAATAATCCATGCCTGTCAAATTTCATTTTTTCTTTTCAGATCATACTCATCACATCCCCATCCTTGCCAGCCTTGAAGTCCGCCTCAACGTATTCGTAGACGAGAAAAAAATGATTTAAATACTGCCAGTTACAGGATAATTAATCTTTGAACTACTCGGGAACTTCAAATGTATATACCAAGTAATCTGCATGAACTTGTAATTACTATGTATTTATACGATATTTTCCATGTAATCACCGAGTCGTTACATGGTTATGTGAGCCTTGTAAATTATGGCGATAGCAGAAAACTAATCTCGCCCACGCCACTGCAAAAAGCCCATGCGGGAGCTGCTGGTATCCACCGCAATTAATCGAAGGATCCAGAAAGAGTCTATCCTTTAAAGGAAACTAGAATGTTTGCCTACAACAGAGTCTCAACTTTCAGAACTCTCAGGGGATTGAGAGACGGGTGAGGTGGGCAGAGAGCAGCCTCCCTCATTCAGCTCTCATACAGAGACTGATTGGCATGGGTCATTTATTGCTGCTGGAGTTGAAAAGCAATTGGAAAAAAAAAATCTCTAGGCAATATCCACCGTCCATTCCGCAAGCAGCATTGCGCTGTGACGAGGGGAATTTCCTAAAATAAATTCCAATGTGAGTTTCCAGAGCAAACCCTGAGGCAGACTTGGTTTGTCATCTTTTTGAACCCAATTAAAGCAGAAGCAAAACCTTTCATTCTTCCAGGCGGGGGCATCTTGTCCAAGTCTACAAAGCACCTTCCTTCACAAACAAACCTTGTGTGTGTGTGTGTGTGTGTGCACGCACACATATCCACTAATTTAACATCTTCAAAAGCCACGTTGGACTACGTGATCCCTTTTGTTCAAAAGCAACTATGAGATGGGAAGGACCCTTCTCTTCTTGGAAGGTACCCTTGACTGGACCACTGAGGTCTTTTCCTTGGCGCAGGAAAGGGTGACACTGTATACAGGGTCATGGCCTTTCTGGGAGCTAGAAGTGGCCACTCAGAACAGAGCAAGGGGGACAGAGAGGCTAAATCCCTCCTGGATCCACAAGCAAGCTTTCCTCTTTTCTCAGCCCTACTTAAAAATAGAAAGAAACCAGCCAGCAACCTCGGAGGGTCTGCCAAGGCCCCACTGCTCAGCTGACCCACACACAGACCCTGGCCTGGCTTGAGATTCAATGGCCATGTGGTTCAGCCTCCTCAAAACCTTGTCTTTTCCGAGGCTCATCCATCTAGAATGCACTTTCTAATATGGCAACCACTAGCCATAGGTGGCTATAGAACTACTTAACTAAAATTAAAGATTCCATTTCTTGGTGTCATTAGCCACATTTCAAGTGTTCAGTAGCCATGCATGGCTGGTGGCCACCATATGGGTAGCACAGACACAGAATCTGTTCAAGGTGGTTGTTCTAGAACTCTACATAATTCTCTGCTATCTGTCCTGGTCTGTCCCTGCTCTGGGACACTGGCATATAGGGAGTCAAAGGACAAAACCAGACTGGTTTTCCCGAGGCCACAGGGAAGCTGCCTTGCCTTGTTGGTATCAACTCTTCTGACCATATCTGGACTTTTGTGCAGAGTCAAGGACAGACCCCAGGCTGAGCATGTTACCCAGAGCTCAGTAGGCACTTGCTGGGATTCCTCTTGGGAACAAAAGCTCCAGACCCACAGAGCCCTGGGAGGCGACTGGGGCCATGGTGGCCTTAAGCAACTTGGCCAGATTGGCCTCTTCATCATAAAGATGCCAGCCTTCACTGGTATAAACCTGGGATGTCCCTCTACCTTCCAGGGTAAGAAATTCCAGGGAGAAATTCTAATTACTCGTTATTTATTACCTTCAATTATCCATGCTATTATTTGCTCCTTGATTGATATTATACATAACTCATTAAGGCAGCAGGTTTTTCCAGTGCCAACCATATGCCAGACCAATTGCCTCTCCAATTCTAACAAAATCCTATGAAATAGAAACTGTGATCCCATTTTACAGATGGGAAAACTAAGGCTTGATAGATTCCCTGATTCCCACAGAGCCACATGGCTAGTCAGCAGTGGATCAGGATCCAAACCTCACCCCATTTCCACACACACGGGCCTATTCCTCAGTCTCCTAGGAGCCGTCTCTGCTCCCAACAGGCAGCCAAGAGGCTAAGCAGAGTGTGGAGCTTTCCAAGTCCTCAGCATGCAGTTTCCTTATCGGCTTCACTCCACCAACAGCTGTCCATTGATCAGCCCTCCCAATTCGTGCTGGTTTCAAAAATGGCCCCAGTTTTCCACTCTTCTCACACCCATGCCTCCTTTGCAATGGGATTTTGCAACTCCTTCCCTCAAGAGGTGGAATGCATTTTGCCGAGTGTATTTCTGAATAAAGATTGGCCTTGGGACTTGATTTGGCCAATAAAACGTGGCAGGAGCAACATTGTACCAATTCTGAGAGTGGGTCTTAAAAGGTATTGTATTCTCTCCCTCTCTCTCTCTCTCTCCTCCCCTCCTGCTCTCTCTCTCTCTCTGTCTCTCTCTCTCATACACACACACACACACACACACACACACACTCTTGCCACCAGCACCTACATGAGCATGAGCCCAGGCTAGCCTGCTGGGATAATAAGAGATAAATGGCCCAGTTGTCCCCACTGCCCTGCTGATGTCCAACCAATCCCCCGAAGTAAAGCCACTCGGGGACCTGCAGCTGACCACAGCTGCTTGAGGAAACTTACTTAGGAAAGAAGAACTGCCCAGCTGAGCCCAACCGAATATGCTGACCTATGTAATCATAGAGAAATGATGCCTGTGAAGCCACTCTATCTGGGGGTGGTTCGTTTCACAGCCGGTTCTAAGTACAGCCACCCATGTAGCCAGATAGGGTTTCCCCTTTAAATGTCTGCTCATGTTTAGGGCTATGTCAGAGCTTCTGCTGGAGACCCTGAAACCCATCAGCCTGGTGAGAGTCAGTGGCATTCCTCCTGTCACCAGTTCGGAGCACCATGAAACCTCTTTGCTCAGTAAGCAACTGGCAAATGAGAATTTTTATTTTAAAAAGTCTAACTGTGGCTGTCCTACATGAGATTCATGCCCACTTTTGGTTCTGATTTTGGACCAAACCACAAAATCTCCCACATCCACTGAGATTCTTGCTTTTATTTTCTTTCCTTTCATAGCCAGGCATCCAGAGGAAAATGTTTAGCTCTCCCAAATCCATCAGCAGCCTGCAGGGCTGAATGAGACTCACCCAACCCATTTTCCATTTTCCCATCTCATCCATGGATTCCAGGCCTTCCCAAGCCCAGGATGGAACTCACATGGGAAATCCCATAAGACCTCATGTTTCAAACGGTGCTACAGAGCCCACAACACATTCCACGCCGCTGAAAGTGAGATGCTGGAAGCTCGGTGGTGGCCAAGTGCGGCTGTTCCAGCAAACTCCACGGAGCCTCAAGGAAATGTTCCATCACTTGTGTTTTGGGTTTCACAGTTTTGCTCTATGAGTTCTGGGAATTCCTAAGCATTTTAAACTCTACATTCATTCAATAAGGAGGTTTTAGATACCTACTATGTGTGGGCAAGATTTGGAGAGATAAAGAAAGGGAGAAAAGAGACCAAAGTTTGGAGAGAGCTCATTGATGGGCAGGAATAAAAATGACAAAAGACATTGATGAGTGGAATAAAATCAGCCAGGAGTAACTTATGGTTCAAAAGAATATGAAAACAAATATATGTATGTTCCTATATGACTGAAGCCTTGTGCTGTACACCAGAAATTGACACAACATTGTAAACCTACTATACTTCAATAAAAATATATTTTAAAAAATTAGAATAGCTGATATTTATAAACATTCAGTATCTTCCAAGAACATACACTTCCAGTTTCTCTAACGTGCATTAATTTACTTAATTCTCACATCTACCTAATCATGCAGGCACTATTACGTGTCCCATATTGTAGATGAGAAAACTAAAGCATAGAGAGGTTGAATAATACAGGCTTTCCTCCTCTGCATTTCTGAAAACACACATGGGAATTAAATGCATGGAAGTTGAGTATAGACTGATGTGATAAAAATGGAATACCATTTTAGTGATGTAAAATGTAGAAGATACCCTACACTTGATTATATATTTTAAATCATTATTAAATCAAAATAATTAAAACTCTAAAATATTA